TTTAGAAAGTGTTTTTTTCCAATTACACCAAGTCTTTTTTTATTTAAATGCTTTTTTGTATATATTACCCACTCGTGGCAAATGTAAACATCTTTTATTTCGGCTGAATTTCAGTGTTTTAAAAAATAAAACAATATTTTATATCGATTATTCGTTTATAATTCTCAGAAAACAATACGATTGGTCAAATGTCAAGCATAGTTCATAGATGCACATTTTAAGGTTAGGCCAAACAGCGTCTATCTACCATACTTTTGAATGAGTTTAAAGGTTTAGTATTTGAAGTAACATGTATGATTTATTGCTGTTTCTCATACTTGTTTTTCAACTTCATTGTAGACTTTAAAAAATAAATATGCTATTTAATGTAATTTATTCCTTTGGCGGAAAACCTTCTAAACCTACTATTATATAGAATTAATTGTTAACTATCTGTTTCTCTTATTAGATAAATGCTCAATTGAAGCCATTTGTGCTAATGACACTGATTCTAATACAGTATCCTATTTATTTATGGTTTTGCATTTAATTGATATAATGCAGTTCTCAGTAATGTTTTTCTTTTAGTAGGATCATATAGAGGAACGCTTATATATAACAAACTTATATGAAACAAACTCAGTAAAAACTCGTCTAAATTCCATTTAATTGATGAATTCAACAACACTGACCATTATCTTGATGATATAGACTCGTTCATAAATCAACAATTCTTTAAATATACTGCCAAAATTTACCCAAAGGAACATACTTTAAGTAAAGCAAATACTATCCTTGAGATATTTCAGTTTTTCACGAGTAAGTCTGCACAAACATTTACGACTAAATGCACGATTCTTCTTTCCTTATTGTAAATTTTCCTTTTTTTGGACTGTGATATTGAAATAAGAAGACGTGGTATGACTTCCAATAAGACTACTCTCCTCAAGAGACCAAAATGATATAAAAATTAACAATTATAGTTCACCACACGACCTTCAACAGCAAATTGCATACCGCACAGTCATCTATAAAAGGCCCCGAAATGAAAAATGTAAAACAACTCAAACGAGAAAACTAAAGGCCTGATTTATGTACAAAACAATGAAATAAAAAACATATATGATATATATGTTCCTTTGGCACCGTCTTACGAAACTCGTCCGCTATGCCCCTGTAGTGACGTTTTGCATTTCAATGAGCGTAATATATGTATTACTAGTTAATTATTAAGTCAGGGATTTTGTTACTACAAATTATCTAAAACATTTACTAAATTCTTCCATAGATACAAAGATTTGGTTTGGAAGTTTGGCTGTACCTGTAAAAACGTATACGATCCGGTTTAACTGATCAATTCTTTAGATAAACCATTCTTCAAGGTTACCAATTGAACACTGTTATTAGATCGTTGAATATTGTTTTTATTGGTAAACAAATTGATTTTTTTATCAATTAATTTAAACCATACTAAATATTATTGTTATACACATATACACAATCACGGTTTAACAATCTGTTGATACCTATATTTTGGCATTGCGCAAGGTCATGTTTTTTCTCTGACTGTTAATGAAGCGTTTACATGAAATCCATTGGATGTGTACTGGTTGATATTTTAGTCGTAGATACATGATCAGTACTAGTTGTTATTGGTTTTGAACAAGCTGTGCTTTGTGTCCTTTTATGTTTTATAGGATATATAAATTCCCTGCCAAGTCCGATCTGTGTTTTTGTTAGATTTTTTTTTCTGCTTGTATTGATCTGATGAATTAATCCCTTTTCAACTTATTTTTTTTCTGCTTGTATCGATCTGATGAATTAATCCCTTTTCAACTTATTTTTATAGTTTGTTCTTATGTTGTACTATCACACCACTGTTATAGGTTAGGGGATGTTTGATGCCTTCAAAGATGTTAAACCCCGCCACATTCTATATATGCCTGTCCTAAGTCAGGAGCCTGTCATTGAGAAGTTGTCGTTTATTGCTCTTTCTCATACTTGTTTTTCGTTTAATGTTTTGTAGTTTGTTCTTATGTTTTGCCGTTACACCACTATTCTAGGTTAGGTTAGGGTTGACGCCTCTAAACGTTTTAAACCCCGATAAATATGTATGTGCCTCTCCCAATTAAGAAACCTGAAATGCAGTGGTTGTCGATTATTCATATCTGTCACATTTGTTTTTCAAAAATTGTTTTGTTATATATTAGGCCGGTAGTTTTTTCTATTGAATTGTTTCACATTTTCATGTCGTGGCCTTTTATAGCCGACTATACAATATGGGTTTTCTCATTGTTGAAGCCGTACGGTTGCCTATAATTGCTTACATTCTCTTCATTTGAAATTTGGTGAATAGTTGTTTCATTGGTCAGCATTCCACATCTCCTTATTTTTATAGGCATAATTTTTGCACTTTTATATTCAGTTACTTGTGTGTATAGTATACATCTAAAGTATCCAGGATATTAAGGTATCAATGACACTGACAAGTAAAGAATTTCTTTGTAACCTAGGGTGTTAATGCATATTTTTATGATAAGAAGATTCAACGAAATCCAGAAATAAAATCAAGGATAAAAGTCTGCTACATGTAACGGCGTTGATTGACAACTTAGTAATTTTGTAGAGTCTAACAAACAAACTAATTGCTTGCTTATGTTATTTTTGCATTGACATACATTAACCATGATTTATTGAAATACCTCAGGAACTAAATGGTTAAATACTTTTATCTAATCTGATCAAAACTGACATTGAAATTATTGATGCACCAATCTACTAAGTTATGATGTTCATTGAAGCTGCATGATAACCACTAGTAATTATTCACACATACATGACATAATAATATGGGCCGCGTTCAAACGGCTCATGTTAAACATATTTTATGTTAACAAGTTCTATGGTTTTCATTTTCGAAATAAAAACTAATAAATTATTTGTTATGTATTTAATTTTGTATTCATAAGTCAATTAACAGTGTAAAGTATTTTCGAAATTACCGCAATGAAACTTTATAATTAATGTTTAAAAGGTTTTTATATCCTAATATGATATTGTCAATACTAAAGTAATAACAAACAATATCATAAAAAATGCAATGTCATTGCCTGGCATTTTCTATTAAAACGTGAAATTAATCTTCGATCTTTTGACTTTCAAAATGAAAATTTAAATATTCTTTTGTAGATAAACTCATTCCGTTTTAGTCGACTGCTTTTGGGCTGAATATACACTTCTTTTCCACTGCTACACATATCCGCAACCAGAACAGGATCTCTGTTGAAATTTAGGCTAATGTCCACTTGTATTGGGGGGAGTTTATAAATAACATTAAAACCGTCTCACTAACCGGACTAAGAATTTTTACAGCACTGGATCGATACCTCTGCTGGTGGACTGTCAGTCCCCGAGGGTATCATTAGCTCAGTAGTCAGCAATTCGGTACTGACATAATTTATAACAAACCTTACTAAAATTGTCTGTTTATAAACTTTGAAATTATAAAGAAACTAAGGTTTCAACTCCCTCAGACAAAGTTGGCCTTAGAAGGATTTGGCTATTATCTTAGGTCATTTTTGATTATATAGTTCCTCAACTGTTTCAGTTGTATACATCCTTGGCTTTCAAATATTCGGCTTTGAGCGTTCCTGATGAAGGTAAATCCAGAAAAGCGCTTCGGACGCATTAAATTTATACGTGTTGTTTTCATTCTTTAATGCTGCCGGTTACATTTTGTTTGAAAAATGTGTACATTTTGAATGGAATTACTAGCAATATTAGATGAAGAATTAACATAATTAAACTTGAGCTTCTAAATAACTTTTCTCGGCTTTAATAGTTTTGTATTCATCATCGGCATGACTTGACACCAGGTTCGATTTGTACTGTCTACAGTATTCTAACCACAATCGCTGCTATCGGCAATCTTTCTTAATTAACTATGTTTTAGAACAATTTCTGTAAACTCAACAACAGTCTCATACACATAGTCTGATTCACAATTAATGTATCTTTTGAAACTTTACTTTAAATATTTACTGCACTTTGTAACCTATACATTTCCAGTGATATATATTTTCAACTTTGAGTGTTTTAGCTTGGGAAAGGGACAGTAAGAGACAATCCTTTAATTCATATTTACAATAAAAAAACTCTTTGGCGGAGTTAAGATCTGATGTCAACTTTATCCTTATAAAAAGTATAAAATTGAAATAGCGCACAGATTTCTTAAAATGGGAAAACCTTTTCCCCTCTAAGACACACAAGAAAGAAAGTCAGAAACGCATTTTGGCAGTGTGTGTGTTAGGATGATCACATTCATCTGCAGAAAGCCTTTAGTCAACAAGATAAAACTTTTCCATCTTTTATGTGTATTTTAAAATCGTTTTCAATTTGAAATGATTACTATGTATCTAGACGTGTTGACTCTGAAGATTTTTTTTTATAAAAATACAAAACTGACAGAAAGTTATGCGACTGTTGTGTTTAAGATTGATTGTTATATATATATTTATTTTAAATCCGAATATTGAGAAATCATATATTATGTATTTTTCAAAGTTCAGTCATATATTTTTCTCACCTCCGTAAACTGACCGATAATCACTATGTCGTCCTATATAAGGCAAGGAATGTAGATATATTTTAAGCATTTCCAAAGCAATGGCTTTTCTTTTCTGTTCACTATTTATAGGTATTTACAACCGTTTGAAATAGTTTCAAATGAGTGACACAAATTTATATGAAAATATAATAAAGGTAATTACCAATAAATACAATCCCAAATTTTCGTCGAATTCATTTATTTTTAAATATCATATAAAAATACGTGGTTTGAAACAATTAAGTACTATATATGATCTTTGTAATCAAGTAGTTTAAACTTTTGTTCAATTATATGTATATGTGTATATTCAATATGATACATGCTTACACAAAAAATACGTCATACGATATATCGTTATTTTATTACAGCCTATTGTTTGCATATGTAAAACATATCAATTGAGTATCTTATGGGATATATAAAACGTTCAAACATTCATTACAGGTTGGGAAATCCAATAATTTTCAAACCACTCCCTTCCAAGAAATCAGTTAATTTGCAAAAAGTATACTTTGGTTTTATAGACATTACTTTATTCCAAGAGTTCTCCTCTTTTGTGAATATATAAGAACACATCTTTCAATAAACCTAATAAGCATTGGGACACGGATAGGAGCAATACTGTGTTGAACCATTTATGATTTACTTATTTTCGAGGAAACATTACAAAACCATGGCACAAACTGTCAGCCTAGTATTACCTCCAACCGACGAGACATCAGCGGTCAATTGCAACTTATGTGAGAATACAGGAGAGTTGTTCTGTACAGAATGTCCGTCTGCGTTAGGCAAACCATGCCGAGATGAACCCGATGGATTGTTGTCTTTGTAAGTATTCTTGTCTATCTACAGCAGACAAAATTGTTGTGAGAATTATTTGGTTCATCTTGTAATGCTCTGATAGACATTATTTAGATTCACCAGCTATGTCAAATGACGTATCAAAAGTATGCAGTCTTTGCTGAATATTTTTGTTTCTAGTGAATTAACAACTTGCGAAAGCCTTTTCATTTTACCAATACTTTTGATGTGAATGTCTAATTCATTTTTAGTCTAGGCGATTCTAGATTGAAAAATTATAATCATTGGTGAAATTTCTCGGAATTTTTTTTCAAAGATCATAAACTGCCAGTTTGATTTAACCTTCTTATTTTCATTCTTCATTCGCCGCTGACGAGTCTTATGTAGACAAAACGCGCTTCTTTTGTAAAAAAATATAATATAGAAATAACAAGATGTGCTATGATTGCCAATGAGACAACTATCCCCAAGAGACCAAATGACACAGAAATAACAACTATAGGTCAACATACGGCCTTCAACAATGAGTAAAACCGGTACCACATAGTCAGCTATAAAAAGGCCCCGAAATGACAAATGTAAAATAATTCAAACGAGAAAACTAAAGGCCTGATTTATGTACAAAATAATAAACGATAACAAATATGATATACATCAACAAATGACAACAATTGAATTATAGGATCCTGACTTGTATCTTTTGATAAACGGTTTTAACTTATTTTTTTTTAATTATTACACACTAATTTTCTTTACGGCATATACTATATGATATGGATTAAACTCCAAACAATATAATATTGTGGTACATAAATAGCTAACAAGGAATAGATAAACAACCAATAATTAATTTTAAACCAAATAGTTTAGTTTGAAAAAAAGACATGTCTCACTAACTACAAAAATAGTGTACAAAATTATATTTATATTCCCAATAATTTGTACGAGTTTGGATAACTACAAATAAGAAATCTGTACCAAAAGTAAATGATCACAAGGATCATTACTATAAACAAAACAGATGTCTGGATCTATCAGTTGTAATGATTTTCAATAATATCGCTTCTAGTTTTGTGACTCTTTTCCCCAAAAAAGTTTAACTAGTAAAACATTCATAGTCATGAACATGCCCGCAAGCGATGACTGTAAGAAACAAACACATATCAAGGACATCTTGATATGAATTCAAGCTCTAAAATAGTGTACCTACCTCGGGCTGTCTGGTCCACATATGCGTACATACTGCTATGTATGTTTCTATATTCAAATGGAGAGACTACAATTTGGAGTATTAGTCATTTTCTTGGGGCTTAGATTTGTTTTTAAGCTGCCGTAGATGTCGTTTCTAGGTGAAAGTCATCATGAAACAAACATGGCTGTCTCTGTCGTATTTGTTATTTCAAGTTAATTGGTAATAATAATTCAGAAAAAGGACATCTGTGTCTTGATGTCGGAATTAAAGGATACACAGACATGTCAGACTTTTGTTAATCTTCTTTTAAAATATTTTGTAAAATCTGACTCATACCAAAGCAATGAAGAGTAATTGCTGTCACCTTTATTTATAAATCTATGGAAAACTGTGACAAATCCACTGATCTATAAGCGTTTGAAGTTATTGAAAATCATAACAACTGATAAATAAATCCCGTTTGTCGACCACACATCTCCTTAAAGAATTTATCAAATGCAATGGTAAATAGGCGAGGAAAGGTATTATCCTTTCAAAGCTGAGATTATGTATATACAGGATACGACCAGATGTGTTTAACGAGATAGGATTCGTTTCTATTATTGCATTGGATTATCCATGACGAAAGACATGTTTTGAAACAAAAAGGGAACAGGTTTATTGATCTTAACAACCGTTATGTATTAGATAACTTAAAAAATCAAATAAATGGGTGAAGGTAAATATCCACTTGAGTCGCCCTTATTAAGCATGGATTATTCGCCACTGGATGTTAGGCAAGCATCAGTAACTGTTAATACATTATCACCAACAAACTCGAATGGCCAAACGTATTTAACATTTTTAAAATCATGATATTAAATTGATATTCTCCGTCTAACTCCAATGAGTTCGATTTCTCCCTTAAATTTGTTGTGATAAATTGTGGATATGAAAACCATGTTGTAATATCAAAGGATATATTTTGCACTGGTTTAACATATCTATTGAATTGGAAACACATTTATAATGCATAAGCAGGATATACAACTAATTTTACTTAATGACAATATATTTTTTGTCTAGGTTAACCAATCAAGAAGAGTCGAATGAGAAGGAAAGGGGAATAGAGAATTTAACTGAAGAAAATGATGCTCTTAAACAGCGCATACGTGAATTGGAAACTATGTAAATATTTACTTCACACAGGTTATATTTTTATTATCATATATGAAAACATATAAGAAGGAAAAGCACATTTTGACAAAAAGAAAATTGGTTATTTAATTAAATAAACACAGCATACAATATAATATGACTATGTTATGTTTCTGAACTATGAATATAACAATTCAAAATCATGAGGGGATTTTTGTCTTCACTTTAAAACAACAACTCTATTTTTAGTGTTTAATGTTGTATACATATCAATATAATATGAAACTAACCATATATATTTATTTGCGACAGAGAGAGTGTTAGGACAACCATGAAAAACTAAATTGACTTAGTGGTGTTTCTTTCCCTTTTTATCTAATATATTCACGATATCAACAAAATGTGTCGCTCTTCGTGTCATGCAATACACACACTTATCAAAATGAGTGTGATGTAAGTAGTTAATAGGAGCCTGATATTCTATCCACCTTAAATCTATTATTTGGGTCAGTATACGTAACTGATTTCACATAGGCGGTAATGGTAACGTTTTCTTCTGTAGCTCAGTCCATATCGTAAACTTGGATATGTATGATGGCTAGTTTCGTAGCTGAGACATTTTCACATATGTGGTTACATTTTCGGGGTACGAAGTGAGATTCATGTTTCCGTAAATTAGCACACCCCGAAAATCCTTTCGTGATGCGGCTCCTTGTGGTAAAAAATCCCTTTTTTCACACAATAAGTTCTTTGAAAATTTTATAGTTTGCATACATTTAATAATTCCATAGTTTTTACACATTTATTCTATGGTCCTCTACTTTCCAAATCAACACAAATGGTAAAGCTCAGTTACTTGTTCAAAATATAAACATGTCCAATATCACTACACTGAAATTTTTTGTTTACGCACAACTTTTTTGTTCCTCAACCTTAGGAGCATAAGGGATATTGACCCATTTGTTCACCTTACTTGTCCTGATTTCTTAATGATTTTGCAGGAGACTCTTCACACATTCGACGCACTCGGTATGCTCCTTTAGAGTCCATTAATTTTATTTGTTTGTTTCACCTGGCTTTTTATCTTCTTACGGATTTAAGGATTTATGAGATTTGAACATCGGTAAACTACTGTTGGCTTTTATTTTTTCTACAGTCTATTTATCACAATCTTACTGTTTTTTTTTTCTTTTAACACCCAACAGAACACAATGGTAAAGTGCCTTATCTTTTCCTTCTGACAAACGTAAAATAGAACAGCATGAGTTATAAAAAGTAAGGCATATGTTAAAACTACTGTAATCAATAAGCTATATAAGGACTTTATGTACTGTAAACAATTTAATCGACAATTTATCTTTGACAAAGTCTTATCAGGCTATCAAATATTACAGAAAACCATAGACAGACAGTTCAAACCCAAACTAAGACCTTAATAAATTATTCAATAAATTCCTCCTTGAATGTTAGAAATTAAATTAAAAAGACTCGTAAAAGTTTCGTTAAGTACAAAAGAAAGAATCGAAAGACGATTCAACCCACCTAATACTAGTACATGCAAACAAAAAGGTGACACAAAACATACAAAGGAGACAAAAAATAGCAACGTCAAATCTAATGTGTGTTTCACGAACTTTTACTGAAATTAAAGTACACAATTAATGAAAGTTTGAACAAAATAGGAATCAACATGATGATAAGTGGAAATCAAACTGACCACATTTTATTGAATCCATGTACCATGCACACATTGTTAACCAGATTTATTGTTGTATCTAATCGGTCATTTTAAAGAGCAAAATAAGATATTAATATCGAGAAATTAACGTATATTAAAAATACCCGTAGAAAAGGAAACAATAAGTGTTGAATTCACATATTTGTCAGCAATTTTCCCCTTATTTGCTGCAGTATATATACCAGCAACCCATCGAAAAAATCAAGAAATTTCATTTGAAATGGACTTGCGTAAAAATCAGATAGTTTCTACTATATTGGACTTGAGACCTGTTTCTATGAACATAATGAAAAGTATAACAAATCAATCGAGATTTAGTTAAAAAAACAGTGCTTATTTTTGAGTAATACTCCCTTTGAACCTGTTTCATTTAAAAGAAGTGACGATTCTCTGAAGAACTTACCCTGATTTCCAAGATATTGACAGACATGGACTACTTTAACTAGAATCAATGATAACGTGAGGGTTTCACTTTTCCAATTTTCAACATCTAATTTCTTAGCAGTAGTATACATTCTACTCCATCGTATGACGTTTAAATATCTCAGTTAATACGTTGCGCTCGTGCATGTTTACACTATATGGATTTGATTAACACGACCGTGCTCTACAATAAAAATGTCCCAACAGAGTTATGTGGATGAACGGCTGAAATCGACACTACAAATGTTTTATAGTCATCATCACGAATTGACTGACCGATACGATGTATCAGAGTCTAAACTCAGTAGCGACATGTTTGCGCGGCCATAGATATTTAGATATCAGTAAAGGCGTCTGATCTGTAATTTACCAATTGTATCCTATACCTGATTGTGACATTTTGACCGAGGGTAAATTCGCATGGCGGGTGATGCATGCATACATGTAGCATTAGACGCTTGGCCTGTAAAATCATCGGGTCTCGATCCTTTTGGAGTTCATGCGATTCCCTCAGTCTTTTTTGTTATACTGATTTGTCTCTTCTTAATCGATAGACGATTAAGAATCGATATTTGATTGTCAGTAAATACGTGTTGCCTTAATCTATTACAGTTTGCAATTATTGAAAGAAAGTAAATGCAATTGTAAAGTTTGTTGTAAATATTTACACAATCATTGAAAATCCTTATGGAGACTCTATTTAGCATTGTAATATAAAGCAACAAAATGTTTCGCTCTGTGCAATGCCAAAAGTTATGTGTCAACAGGATATGACTTTACGTGTAAAACTAAATAGGACGATATTTTGAAAAAAAAATGTAATAAATGAGTAATAATAAATTTAAGATGACAAAGAAGAAAAAACTAAATATTAAAGGGGCATTAGCTACGAATTAGACAAAAATAAAAAAAAAAAAAATTTTGTTGTGTTTCAAACATTAAGAAAAGCGGAATATAGTAATTATATTTTACTATAAGCAGTCAGTTTGGTTCACTTTCCTCAAAATCAGCTAAAACATCGTTGATATATCATTGACTTGCAATGATTAAATCTCATTTAACTCCGTATTCATGTAACTTTTTATCTGACCTTTAGTGGAGATGAGTAACACAAGTGGTTCATTTATTATAAGCAAAGAACGTCAACATTTAAAAATAAAACAGGGGAGACACAAGGAATAACTATTTCGTTAATTGATCAGGCCCTCAAAAAATGAATTTCATACACTCGGGTTACACGATAATTAACATATATATTTAATCTATAAAATAATTTCAAACAGACCTGGAAAAGTTGTCATGATACCATTGCACATGCTTGGTTGACGTTAGTCAAACAACACGTAATTAATTATTGCAGATGAACTGAAACTACTAGCAGTGTCTTTAACTGCATAAAATTAAGAACAGTTAGGCAAAAAAAAAGAGGACCAAGCAGTCATTTCGATTTCTCCTATGTAACCGTAGTTTGTATGTGATATTTTTAGGATCTGTTAATCAAATTATTTCTCTAACGTCATAATTGATACTGCTTTGAAATATTTGCTTAGAAAGGACAAACATATAAATGACATTAAAAAAACTACATTCTAAGTAATAGCTGGGATACTGCATTGTATTTCTAGGTTAACGAATCAAGAAGAAGCGGTAGAGAAACAGAGAAGAATAGATAAATTAACCGAAGAATATGATGCTCTTCAACAACACTTGAGCGAACTGAACACTATGTAAATATGTATTCGGTTCAAACAGGCTTGATTACCCAATTATGTATCAACTCTAACCATAAATTGGCCAGTTTAAGCATTTTCGCATTTTATTGTGCTTATCAGGAGCACCATCACCAAATTAGGTAGATTAATTGTAAAGACACCACAGACAAGCAAATCTGCGGATACTTAACTTATTTTCACTGTAAACAATCGACAGATGTGGCTTTTTCATCCATTTGCATTCATTTGCATTCCATCTAACTGGACATCAGCTAACGTAAAAATGATCATATGGCGCACTGGCAGGTCAAGAACATGTTTTGTTTTATTATGTTTAATTGAGCAAATGTGTTTTTACTGCTTTTGTTAATTACAAATGAAAAAGAATGCACGTATTTCCTACAACTCCAACAAGTCCAACATAAACATAGATTCGAAAAAAGAACGACAAGTTCAAAGTGAACGAAATTTATGATTCTGTTTTCTTCCGTTTTAAAATTTATTTTGTTGAATGTTTGCATGCAATAGTCTGTTATAATTTTGTAAAACGTCAATCTCAATAGTAATACTCACTGTAGTTAATTAAGTGAACCTGCTATGTTTAAGCTTCAAAAGTTTAAGAATTAAGGTAACAGTGGTTTGCCAGTTCAATCAAAAGAGCAATCATGTCTTGTATATTTTCTTAGCTGAAACTGACACATTCTGGTACATGTAATTAGGATTGTAACACTCTGTAAGTAAAAAAAATAAAAATATACTGTTCTGCGAAAATTCGAAGCTGACCATCAATGGAATGTAACCAGGCGTGTCACAAAGAGTTATCTCATCTGCAGTGGTCAAAACTTGTAGGTATTTGACTGTCAGAATATCAAAACTCTATCTCTTTATAGTATAAATATTTAACCATTCAGCATTCCTAAACAAACACAAACAATTATGTAAAGATTGAATAAAAATATAGGTTATCGTCATTAAGTAATCAAATCATATTCAGTTACAGAACAAAGGATAATGCGCACGAATCAGAACTGAAAGCACAAAAGGAAGACCAGGAACAAAAAATACGTGGGCTTGAAGAAAAAGTATACGAACTCGAAAACAGGTACACATATAATTTGGCTATTTTATATAGATCACTCAATCAATGTTCTATAATATTTTATTTTAGGAGTAAACCATTTGGTTGAGTGATCAGGCACTCGAAATATATTTTTGAAAAACGATAATTAACATTGATATTTAATCTATAACATGAAATCAAATAGACCTGGATAAAATTATCATTATACGATTGCACGTGTTTGGTTGTCTGTTTATACTCATATTCATGTTTAAATCGAGTTATATTACCGTAGGAAGTCTCCGGAGGTGATATCGATTAATGATTAGATGGCTCCTAGTCTAAAAAACGTACGAAATGTTGATACATTATAAAAAGTCTTTGCATTGTTAACTGATTCCTATGCACTTTTTGTAATTTGAATAAAGGCATTAGAATGACATTAATTGAATATGATAATTTTGATTAAATTGGTGAGTATACATTTGACAATTTATGTTCCTTAAACAACAATATCTTATATCAGATAATCTTAAGAAATCAATTAAATCTGTGACAAAACTCATCACTGGGGTATCGTCCTAAATAAATATTGATTATTTGACCCTAAACGTTAATCAAACAACACGTAATTAATCATCACCGATGAACTCAAACTACAAGCATTTTAACTGCAAAAAAATAAAGAAAAGTTCGACAAATAAAAAATGGACCAACCAATCAGTTCGATTTCTCCTATGTAACCGTAGTTTGTATAGAATATTTTTAGAATCTGTTAACAAAATTATTTCTCTAACGTCATAATTGATACTGCTTTGAACTATTTGATAAGAAACGACAAATTTCAAAATGATATCAAAAAACGCTTCATTTAAAGTAAAATGTGGTATACTGCATTGTATTTCTAGGTTAACGAATCAAGAAGAAGCGGTAGAGAAACAGAGAAGAATAGATAAATTAACCGAAGAATATGATGCTCTTCAACAACACTTGAGCGAACTGAACACTATGTAAATATGTATTTACTTCAAACAGGCTTAATTACCCAATTATATTTCAACGCTATCCATATATTGGCCAGTTAAAGTAGTTTCGTATTCATTGAGCGTATAAGGAGCACCATCACCAAGTAAAGTAGATTATGTAGTAGAGAATTGATAAGAAGTAGTGGATTCGTAAACGATAATCAACGAGCGACTTTAGTCGCAAGTTGATTATCGTTTCCGAATCCACTACTTCTTATCAATTCTCTAGCTTAACCCATTTCTATTAAAACGACTGTCTGTTTTACGTTTTGACAATGAATCAACGATATTTCATAAAAATAGTTTAGTATTTTGTCTTTTTTATTCTATAATAGCTGGAAATGATTATATCCACACGGTTCGCATCTATAATTAGACATTTGACAAGTTAAAATAAGTTTAAGATAACTTAAATGGGGTGTTAGCTCCCCTTTTTAACACCAGATTTTAGTTTTGTATATACATATTTCATTTAATGTTTAATCATTACAAATTATTTATATTGAATAGATTTTGGTATATTTAATTTATTCAAAAAGACATATATTAATATACAGAATTTATTTATCTTGTTTTGAAAAGTTAAAAAATTTTAATTACCAAAATTTAGAACCTTCAAAATTTATATATATAATATTTAGCAACATATTTTGGTTAATTGAAGACTAAACACCGTTAAGCCGTTCTTAATCAAAAAAATATTGATAAGGTAGATGCCATAAATCTGCCATTTCATAATGCTCAAATTCATGTTGCTTTCCTAAAGTATTAAAATTACGATTGTGCTTACGATTTAAATTGAACAATTATATTCAAATCTGTTTAAACTGTTCCCGTTTCATTAAGTTACGATTATTTTAACGTTATAATTTCATTTGGCATATATCGTTCACCGGTAAATAAACTAGTTTTATCTGAGGTACGCATTCTGAATCCCCATCATATTGCTCTTGCTACGGATGTACAATGAATAATTATCTTGATTTCATAAACTTACCATCAAGCTGTTCATAGCTGTGATCGTCTACTCGTTGGTAATGAATGTCATAACGGTGATATTAACAGTGCAAAGTTCGAACCGTGTATCCGGAATGAAATTTTTTCATTGTAATTTTTTTCTCGATAAAAATAGTTTTAATCTTAGAGGTATTATATACTTCATTTTCATGTAAAGGCGATGATTTTGTTTCTGGTTTTACAGTCAAAGAAGTAGTTTTACGGTCGTAGCTTATATATCACACTTTACTCAAATTAGAGTCCGTTCAATGTTGACGTGATATAAATAAATTTGAAAAGAACATGAACAAATCCAGACATAGTATATATATTTTGTTAGATAACAAAAGCGAATTATCTCTGAGATAGAAATACAGTTTATTGACATGTATTGACAGTTGTGCGCTTTAAGAGTGTTATTTAAATCTTGATTTATGTGAGCACTCGTGGTATAGTGGTATGATGCATAGACTGAAGACTCTACTGATTATGAAGAAAATACGCGCGAGTTCGAACCCTTCATATGCCACTCGTTTTTGAGAGGATAAAAAATCGTAAGTTAAAAGTTTAAAGTTATAAAATAAGTTATCTTAAGTTAACGAAGTAGTCAGTGGATTCTTGAAAAATAATCCACTGTAAGAACAATAGAATGACGTCAGAGAAATGGGTTAACTTTTAAGACACCAAGGACAAGAAATCTGCGGATACGTAACTTATTTTCACAGTGAACAATTGACAAATTTCGCTTTTGCATTCATTTGAATTTGATCTAACTTTATATCAGCTAAGCTAAAGATTACCATATGATGCACTGGCAGGTCAAAAACATGTTTTGTTTCATTACGTTTAAGTGAGCAACTGTTTTCTTAATTACAAATGAAAAAGAATGCATTGATTTCCTACAACTTCAACAACTCAAACATGTACATTGTTGATGCGAGAAAAGATTGACAAATTGAAAGTGAACGAGATTTATGATGCTGGTTTCGTCCGTTTCAAAAATATTTTGCTGAATATTGGCACGCAGAATTCTGTAATAATTTGGCAAAACGACAATCTTGTTAATAACACAAACTGCATTTATTTAAGAGAAGCTGCGATATTTTGTTACAGTTGTTAAAGAATCAAGGTAACAGTGGTTTACAAATTGAAATAAAGGAGCAATCATGTTTTGTATATTTTCCTAGCTGAAACTGACACATTCTGGTACATGTAATTAGGAATTTAACACTGAAAAAATAGTTTACTATTTTGCGAAAGTTCACAGCTGACCATCAATGGGATGTACCCAGGCGTATCAAGAAAGTTATTTCATCTGCAGTGTTCAAATCTTTTAGGTATTGGCTGTCAGAATACTAAAATTAAGTCTCTTTATAGTGTTAAAACATAATCATTCAACATTTCTAAACAAACACAAATAATTATACAACGATTAAAAAAAGATATTATTTATCGTCATTACGTAATCAAATTATTTTCAGTTACAGAACAAAGGATAATGCACATGAATCAGAACTGAAAACACAAAAGAAAGACCTGGAACAGAAAATACAACGGCTTGAAGAAAAAGTAAATGAACTCGAAAACAGGTACACATATAATTTGTCTATTTTGCATAGATTTTTGCAACCAATGCTTTATAGTATATCAATCAAATTATGAGACAAATCTCGTCCTCGACATGACATAAATAAATACAAACACAAATGAGTGAACAATTAAAGTTATAAAAAGAAGTGGGATACTTTTTTCAGATTTTTTAAATGCATTACATAACTTTTTTACCTTTTATGTTCTGATGTCTTAAGTGATTTATATTTGGTTATGTCACAGATCAATACAAACACACATGAAGACGTTATTAAAGTTATTAAGAGAAAGCATCATATATTTTTTTTAGACTTTTTACATGAATCTCATAAAGTATTCACCTTTTATGTTTTGCTGTCTTATCAATGTGTCTCCATTTATTGTGCATGTCATGCTTTTCAGCAGTCGAATAATCGCAAGCATACTGTTTTACAATCCCTTCTCCAATTTAAAATGGCAAGTAAAAACATTATCTAATCATTTTTTCTTACAAACTTAACACAGATGAGCGTTATTTACTAAAAAAATAAGTTCATATGCAGATACTAATGCAGTCGATAATCTATAGTGAGACTAACTGCAAATGAAAATAACACTTGATGAATTGTATTGTAAACTTTCTCATCGATATTATATCTTACATATTTCTTGTCAGGCTTTTAGGTACAACAGAAAAGCATCAACAAGTAGTGCGTAGACTGACCAAAGAACTTGACAACACTCGGTAATGATTATTTTGCTAAACCAACCCTGTCTTAAGTTAAATACCTTGCATTGTGTTAACTTCCCACTCACATACATCATTTCAATATACACAATATTCACAATACACCATACGTCATTAAAACATACATCATATATCGATCTGCCATCATCTTTGTATTCTATTTTATTACCTTATTCGCAACGTTCAAAATACCCACAATGTAACGTGTTTACATATCGGTCGTCATCTGTGTCACTTATATTATATAACGTTCAAACAACTTATGATCGAGTCCATCATGTTTCAACACAGATTAACTCACCATACAACTGGCAACCTTTGGTTCAATTGTTTTCCTTGGAACTAATAACCCTATCTCAAGCTTCTCATGACATAAATCGTCAGTTCTTATTCATGTTCTATATGATATCAACTGAGAGATATCATTTCCATGCCAGGTGTTGTTTAAATTTTGATACACAAAAATAACCACAGCTTATTCTTTCAATTTGTGTATAAGTTGAGAATGAAATAACTAGCATGAGTATAGAAGACAGCATTTTTTTTATATTATCGAAAGAAATTAGTGACTGAGACGTAAAAGAAAATATATGTCCTGTCAGGCACTACAAAAGTCAAAAAGTCTGAAAAGACAAATTTTTGTCTGAATTTGCATGTAATTAGGATTGTAACACTCTGTAAGTAAAAAAAATAAAAATATACCGTTCTGCGAAAATTCGAAGCTGACCATCAATGGAATATAACCAGGCGTATCACAAAAAGTTATCTCATCTGCAGTGGTCAAAACTTGTAGGTATTTGACTGTCAGAATATCAAAACTAGCTCTTTATAGTATAAAGATTTAACCATTCAGCATTCCTAAACAAACACAAACAATTATGTAAAGATTGAATAAAAATATAGGTTATCGTCATTAAGTAATCAAATCATATTCAGTTACAGAACAAAGGATAATGCGCACGAATCAGAACTGAAAGCACAAAAGGAAGACCAGGAACAAAAAATACGTGGGCTTGAAGAAAAAGTATACGAACTCGAAAACAGGTACAAATATAATTTGGCTATTTTATATAGATCACTCAATCAATGTTTTATAATATTTTATTTTAGGAGTAAACCATTTGGTTGAGTGATCAGGCACTCGAAATATATTTTTGAAAAACGATAATTAACATTGATATTTAATCTATAACATGAAATCAAATAGACCTGGATAAAATTATCATTATACGATTGCACGTGTTTGGTTGTCTGTTTATACTCATATTCATGTTTAAATCGAGTTATATTACCGTAGGAAGTCTCCGGAGGTGATATCGATTAATGATTAGATGGCTCCTAGTCTAAAAAACGTACGAAATGTTGATACATTATAAAAAGTCTTTGCATTGTTAACTGATTCCTATGCACTTTTTGTAATTTGAATAAAGGCATTAGAATGACATTAATTGAATATGATAATTTTGGTTAAATTGGTGAGTATACATTTGACAATTTATGTTCCTTAAACAACAATATCTTATATCAGATAATCTTAAGAAATCAATTAAATCTGTGACAAAACTCATCACTGGGGTATCGTCCTAAATAAATATTGATTATTTGACCCTAAACGTTAATCAAACAACACGTAATTAATCATCACCGATGAACTCAAACTACAAGCATTTTAACTGTAAAAAAATAAAGAAAAGTTCGACAAATAAAAAAGGGGACCAACCAATCAGTTCGATTTCTCCTATGTAACCGTAGTTTGTATAAAATATTTTTAGAATCTGTTAATAAAATTATTTCTCTAACGTCATAATTGATACTGCTTTGAACTATTTGATAAGAAACGACAAATTTCAAAATGATATTAAAAAACGCTTCATTTAAAGTAATATGTGGTATACTGCATTGTATTTCTAGGTTAACGAATCAAGAAGAAGCGGTAGAGAAACAGAGAAGAATAGATAAATTAACCGAAGAATATGATGCTCTTCAACAACACTTGAGCGAACTGAACACTATGTAAATATGTATTCGGTTCAAACAGGCTTGATTACCCAATTATGTATCAACTCTAACCATAAATTGGCCAGTTTAAGCATTTTCGCATTTTATTGTGCTTATCAGGAGCACCATCACCAAATTAGGTAGATTAATTGTTAAGACACCACAGACAAGCAAATCTGCGGATACTAAACTTATTTTCACTGTAAACATTCGACAGATTTGGCTTTTTCTTTAATTTGCATTCATTTGCATTCCATCTAACTGATCATCAGCTAACGTAAAAATGATCATATGGCGCACTGGCAGGTCAAGAACATGTTTTGTTTTATTACGTTTAATTGAGCAAATGTGTCTTTACTGCTTTTGTTAATTTCAAATGAAAAAGAATGCACGTATTTCCTACAACTCCAACAAGTCCAACATAAACATAGATTCGAAAAAAGAACGACAAGTTCAAAGTGAACGAAATTTATGATTCTGTTTTCTTCCGTTTTAAAATTTATTTTGTTGAATGTTTGCATGCAGTAGTCTGTTATAATTTTGTAAAACGTCGATCTCAATAGTAATACTCACTGAAGTTAATTAAGTGAACCTGCTATGTTTAAGTTACAATAGTTTAAGAATTAAGGTAACAGTGGTTTGCCAGTTCAATCAAAAGAGCAATCATGTCTTGTATATTTTCCTAGCTGAAACTGACACATTCTGGTACATGTAATTAGGATTGTAACACTCTGTAAGTAAAAAAAATAAAAATATATCGTTCTGCGAAAATTCGAAGCTGACCATCAATGGAATGTAACCAGGCGTATCACAAAAAGTTATCTCATCTGCAGTGGTCAAAACTTGTAGGTATTTGACTGTCAGAATATCAAAACTCTAGCTCTTTATAGTATAAAGATTTAACCATTCAGCATTCCTAAACAAACACAAACAATTATGTAAAGATTAAATAAAAATATAGGTTATCGTCATTAAGTAATCAAATCATATTCAGTTACAGAACAAAGGATAATGCGCACGAATCAGAACTGAAAGCACAAAAGGAAGACCAGGAACAAAAAATACATGGGCTTGAAGAAAAAGTATACGAACTCGAAAACAGGTACAAATATAATTTGGCTATTTTATATAGATCACTCAATCAATGTTCTATAATATTTTATTTTAGGAGTAAACCATTTGGTTGAGTGATCAGGCACTCGAAATATATTTTTGAAAAACGATAATTAACATTGATATTTAATCTATAACATGAAATCAAATAGACCTGGATAAAATTATCATTATACGATTGCACGTGTTTGGTTGTCTGTTTATACTCATATTCATGTTTAAATCGAGTTATATTACCGTAGGAAGTCTCCGGAGGTGATATCGATTAATGATTAGATGGCTCCTAGTCTAAAAAACGTACGAAATGTTGATACATTATAAAAAGTCTTTGCATTGTTAACTGATTCCTATGCACTTTTTGTAATTTGAATAAAGGCATTAGAATGACATTAATTGAATATGATAATTTTGGTTAAATTGGTGAGTATACATTTGACAATTTATGTTCCTTAAACAACAATATCTTATATCAGATAATCTTAAGAAATCAATTAAATCTGTGACAAAACTCATCACTGGGGTATCGTCCTAAATAAATATTGATTATTTGACCCTAAACGTTAATCAAACAACACGTAATTAATCATCACCGATGAACTCAAACTACAAGCATTTTAACTGTAAAAAAATAAAGAAAAGTTCGACAAAAAAAAAAGGGGACCAACCAATCAGTTCGATTTCTCCTATGTAACCGTAGTTTGTATAAAATATTTTTAGAATCTGTTAATAAAATTATTTCTCTAACGTCATAATTGATACTGCTTTGAACTATTTGATAAGAAACGACAAATTTCAAAATGATATTAAAAAACGCTTCATTTAAAGTAATATGTGGTATACTGCATTGTATTTCTAGGTTAACGAATCAAGAAGAAGCGGTAGAGAAACAGAGAAGAATAGATAAATTAACCGAAGAATATGATGCTCTTCAACAACACTTGAGCGAACTGAACACTATGTAAATATGTATTCGGTTCAAACAGGCTTGATTACCCAATTATGTATCAACTCTAACCATAAATTGGCCAGTTTAAGCATTTTCGCATTTTATTGTGCTTATCAGGAGCACCATCACCAAATTAGGTAGATTAATTGTTAAGACACCACAGACAAGCAAATCTGCGGATACTAAACTTATTTTCACTGTAAACATTCGACAGATTTGGCTTTTTCTTTAATTTGCATTCATTTGCATTCCATCTAACTGATCATCAGCTAACGTAAAAATGATCATATGGCGCACTGGCAGGTCAAGAACATGTTTTGTTTTATTACGTTTAATTGAGCAAATGTGTCTTTACTGCTTTTGTTAATTTCAAATGAAAAAGAATGCACGTATTTCCTACAACTCCAACAAGTCCAACATAAACATAGATTCGAAAAAAGAACGACAAGTTCAAAGTGAACGAAATTTATGATTCTGTTTTCTTCCGTTTTAAAATTTATTTTGTTGAATGTTTGCATGCAGTAGTCTGTTATAATTTTGTAAAACGTCGATCTCAATAGTAATACTCACTGAAGTTAATTAAGTGAACCTGCTATGTTTAAGTTACAATAGTTTAAGAATTAAGGTAACAGTGGTTTGCCAGTTCAATCAAAAGAGCAATCATGTCTTGTATATTTTCCTAGCTGAAACTGACACATTCTGGTACATGTAATTAGGATTGTAACACTCTGTAAGTAAAAAAAATAAAAATATATCGTTCTGCGAAAATTCGAAGCTGACCATCAATGGAATGTAACCAGGCGTATCACAAAAAGTTATCTCATCTGCAGTGGTCAAAACTTGTAGGTATTTGACTGTCAGAATATCAAAACTCTAGCTCTTTATAGTATAAAGATTTAACCATTCAGCATTCCTAAACAAACACAAACAATTATGTAAAGATTAAATAAAAATATAGGTTATCGTCATTAAGTAATCAAATCATATTCAGTTACAGAACAAAGGATAATGCGCACGAATCAGAACTGAAAGCACAAAAGGAAGACCAGGAACAAAAAATACGTGGGCTTGAAGAAAAAGTATACGAACTCGAAAACAGGTACAAATATAATTTGGCTATTTTATATAGATCACTCAATCAATGTTCTATAATATTTTATTTTAGGAGTAAACCATTTGGTTGAGTGATCAGGCACTCGAAATATATTTTTGAAAAACGATAATTAACATTGATATTTAATCTATAACATGAAATCAAATAGACCTGGATAAAATTATCATTATACGATTGCACGTGTTTGGTTTTCGTTTATACTCATATTCATGTTTAAATCGAGTTATATTACCGTAGGAAGTCTCCGGAGGTGATATCGATTAATGATTAGATGGCTCCTAGTCTAAAAAACGTACGAAATGTTGATACATTATAAAAAGTCTTTGCATTGTTAACTGATTCCTATGCACTTTTTGTAATTTGAATAAAGGCATTAGAATGACATTAATTGAATATGATAATTTTGGTTAAATTGGTGAGTATACATTTGACAATTTATGTTCCTTAAACAACAATATCTTATATCAGATAATCTTAAGAAATCAATTAAATCTGTGACAAAACTCATCACTGGGGTATCGTCCTAAATAAATATTGATTATTTGACCCTAAACGTTAATCAAACAACACGTAATTAATCATCACCGATGAACTCAAACTACAAGCATTTTAACTGCAAAAATAAAGAAAAGTTCGACAAATAAAAAGGGGACCAACCAATCAGTTCGATTTCTCCTATGTAATCGTAGTTTGTATGTGATATTTTTAGAATATGTTAACAAAATTATTTCTCTAACGTCATAATTGATACTGCTTTGAACTATTTGACAAGAAACGACAAATTTCAAAATGATATTAAAAAACGCTTCATTTAAAGTAATATGTGGTATACTGCATTGTATTTCTAGGTTAACGAATCAAGAAGAAGCGGTAGAGAAACAGAGAAAAATAGATAAATTAACTGAGGAATATGATGCTCTTCAACAACACTTGAGCGAACTGAACACTATGTAAATATGTATTTACTTCAAACAGGCTTGATTACCCAATTATATTTCAACGCTAACCATATATTGGTCAGTTAAAGCAGTTTCGCATTCATTGAGCGTATAAGGAGCACCATCACCAAGTAAAGTAGATTATCTTTTAAGACACCAAGGACAAGAAATCTGCGGATACGTAACTTATTTTCACAGTGAACAATTGACAAATTTCGCTTTTGCATTCATTTGAATTTGATCTAACTTTATATCAGCTAAGCTAAAGATTACCATATGATGCACTGGCAGGTCAAAAACATGTTTAGTTTCATTACGTTTAAGTGAGCAACTGTTTTCTTAATTACAAATGAAAAAGAATGCATTGATTTCCTACAACTTCAACAACTCAATCATGTACATTGTTGATGCGAGAAAAGATTGACGAATTGAAAGTGAACGAGATTTATGATGCTGGTTTCGTCCGTTTCAAAAATATTTTGCTGAATATTGGCACGCAGTATTCTGTAATAATTTGACAAAACGACAATCTTATTAATAACACAAACTGCATTTATTTAAGAGAAGCTGCGATATTTTGTTACAGTTGTTAAAGAATCAAGGTAACAGTGGTTTACAAATTGAAATAAAGGAGCAATCATGTTTTGTATATTTTCCTAGCTGAAACTGACACATTCTGGTACATGTAATTAGGAATTTAACACTGAAAAAATAGTTTACTATTTTGCGAAAGTTCACAGCTGACCGTCAATGGGATGTACCCAGGCGTATCAAGAAAGTTATTTCATCTGCAGTGTTCAAATCTTTTAGGTATTGGCTGTCAGAATACTAAAATTAAGTCTCTTTATAGTGTTAAAACATAATCATTCAACATTTCTAAACAAACACAAATAATTATACAACGATTAAAAAAAGATATTATTTATCGTCATTACGTAATCAAATTATTTTCAGTTACAGAACAAAGGATAATGCACATGAATCAGAACTGAAAACACAAAAGAAAGACCTGGAACAGAAAATACAACGGCTTGAAGAAAAAGTAAATGAACTCGAAAACAGGTACACATATAATTTGTCTATTTTGCATAGATTTTTGCAACCAATGCTTTATAGTATATCAATCAAATTATGAGACAAATCTCGTCCTCGACATGACATAAATAAATACAAACACAAATGAGTGAACAATTAAAGTTATAAAAAGAAGTGGGATACTTTTTTCAGATTTTTTAAATGCATTACATAACTTTTTTACCTTTTATGTTCTGATGTCTTAAGTGATTTATATTTGGTTATGTCACAGATCAATACAAACACACATGAAGACGTTATTAAAGTTATTAAGAGAAAGCATCATATATTTTTTTTAGACTTTTTACATGAATCTCATAAAGTATTCACCTTTTATGTTTTGCTGTCTTATCAATGTGTCTCCTTTTATTGTGCATGTCATGCTTTTCAGCAGTCGAATAATCGCAAGCATACTGTTTTACAATCCCTTCTCCAATTTAAAATGGCAAGTAAAAACATTATCTAATCATTTTTTCTTACAAACTTAACAAAGATGAGCGTTATTTACTAAAAAAATAAGTTCATATGCAGATACTAATGCAGTCGATAATCTATAGTGAGACTAACTGCAAATGAAAATAACACTTGATGAATTGTATTGTAAACTTTCTCATCGATATTATATCTTACATATTTCTTGTCAGGCTTTTAGGTACAACAGAAAAGCATCAACAAGTAGTGCGTAGACTGACCAAAGAACTTGACAACACTCGGTAATGATTATTTTGCTAAACCAACCCTGTCTTAAGTTAAATACCTTGCATTGTGTTAACTTCCCACTCACATACATCATTTCAATATACACAATATACACAATACACCATACGTCATTAAAACATACATCATATATCGATCTGCCATCATCTTTGTATTCTATTTTATTACCTTATTCGCAACGTTCAAAATACCCACAATGTAACGTGTTTACATATCGGTCGTCATCTGTGTCACTTATATAATATAACGTTCAAACAACTTATGATCGAGTCCATCATGTTTCAACACAGATTAACTCACCATACAACTGGCAACCTTTGGTTCAATTGTTTTCCTTGGAACTAATAACCCTATCTCAAGCTTCTCATGACATAAATCGTCAGTTCTTATTCATGTTCTATATGATATCAACTGAGAGATATCATTTCCATGCCAGGTGTTGTTTAAATTTTGATACACAAAAATAACCACAGCTTATTCTTTCAATTTGTGTATAAGTTGAGAATGAAATAACTAGCATGAGTATAGAAGACAGCATTTTTTTTATATTATCGAAAGAAATTAGTGACTGAGACGTAAAAGAAAATATATGTCTTGTCAGGCACTACAAAAGTCAAAAAGTCTGAAAAGACAAATTTTTGTCTGAATTTGCATGTAATTAGGATTGTAACACTCTGTAAGTAAAAAAAATAAAAATATACCGTTCTGCGAAAATTCGAAGCTGACCATCAATGGAATATAACCAGGCGTATCACAAAAAGTTATCTCATCTGCAGTGGTCAAAACTTGTAGGTATTTGACTGTCAGAATATCAAAACTAGCTCTTTATAGTATAAAGATTTAACCATTCAGCATTCCTAAACAAACACAAACAATTATGTAAAGATTGAATAAAAATATAGGTTATCGTCATTAAGTAATCAAATCATATTCAGTTACAGAACAAAGGATAATGCGCACGAATCAGAACTGAAAGCACAAAAGGAAGACCAGGAACAAAAAATACGTGGGCTTGAAGAAAAAGTATACGAACTCGAAAACAGGTACAAATATAATTTGGCTATTTTATATAGATCACTCAATCAATGTTCTATAATATTTTATTTTAGGAGTAAACCATTTGGTTGAGTGATCAGGCACTCGAAATATATTTTTGAAAAACGATAATTAACATTGATATTTAATCTATAACATGAAATCAAATAGACCTGGATAAAATTATCATTATACGATTGCACGTGTTTGGTTGTCTGTTTATACTCATATTCATGTTTAAATCGAGTTATATTACCGTAGGAAGTCTCCGGAGGTGATATCGATTAATGATTAGATGGCTCCTAGTCTAAAAAACGTACGAAATGTTGATACATTATAAAAAGTCTTTGCATTGTTAACTGATTCCTATGCACTTTTTGTAATTTGAATAAAGGCATTAGAATGACATTAATTGAATATGATAATTTTGGTTAAATTGGTGAGTTTACATTTGACAATTTATGTTCCTTAAACAACAATATCTTATATCAGATAATCTTAAGAAATCAATTAAATCTGTGACAAAACTCATCACTGGGGTATCGTCCTAAATAAATATTGATTATTTGACCCTAAACGTTAATCAAACAACACGTAATTAATCATCACCGATGAACTCTAACTACAAGCATTTTAACTGTAAAAAAATAAAGAAAAGTTCGACAAATAAAAAAGGGGACCAACCAATCAGTTCGATTTCTCCTATGTAACCGTAGTTTGTATAAAATATTTTTAGAATCTGTTAATAAAATTATTTCTCTAACGTCATAATTGATACTGCTTTGAACTATTTGATAAGAAACGACAAATTTCAAAATGATATTAAAAAACGCTTCATTTAAAGTAATATGTGGTATACTGCATTGTATTTCTAGGTTAACGAATCAAGAAGAAGCGGTAGAGAAACAGAGAAGAATAGATAAATTAACCGAAGAATATGATGCTCTTCAACAACACTTGAGCGAACTGAACACTATGTAAATATGTATTCGGTTCAAACAGGCTTGATTACCCAATTATGTATCAACTCTAACCATAAATTGGCCAGTTTAAGCATTTTCGCATTTTATTGTGCTTATCAGGAGCACCATCACCAAATTAGGTAGATTAATTGTTAAGACACCACAGACAAGCAAATCTGCGGATACTAAACTTATTTTCACTGTTAACATTCAACAGATTTGGCTTTTTCTTTAATTTGCATTCATTTGCATTCCATCTAACTGATCATCAGCTAACGTAAAAATGATCATATGGCGCACTGGCAGGTCAAGAACATGTTTTGTTTTATTACGTTTAATTGAGCAAATGTGTCTTTACTGCTTTTGTTAATTTCAAATGAAAAAGAATGCACGTATTTCCTACAACTCCAACAAGTCCAACATAAACATAGATTCGAAAAAAGAACGACAAGTTCAAAGTGAACGAAATTTATGATTCTGTTTTCTTCCGTTTTAAAATTTATTTTGTTGAATGTTTGCATGCAGTAGTCTGTTATAATTTTGTAAAACGTCGATCTCAATAGTAATACTCACTGAAGTTAATTAAGTGAACCTGCTATGTTTAAGTTACAATAGTTTAAGAATTAAGGTAACAGTGGTTTGCCAGTTCAATCAAAAGAGCAATCATGTCTTGTATATTTTCCTAGCTGAAACTGACACATTCTGGTACATGTAATTAGGATTGTAACACTCTGTAAGTAAAAAAAATTAAAATATATCGTTCTGCGAAAAATTCGAAGCTGACCATCAATGGAATGTAACCAGGCGTATCACAAAAAGTTATCTCATCTGCAGTGGTCAAAACTTGTAGGTATTTGACTGTCAGAATATCAAAACTCTAGCTCTTTATAGTATAAAGATTTAACCATTCAGCATTCCTAAACAAACACAAACAATTATGTAAAGATTAAATAAAAATATAGGTTATCGTCATTAAGTAATCAAATCATATTCAGTTACAGAACAAAGGATAATGCGCACGAATCAGAACTGAAAGCACAAAAGGAAGACCAGGAACAAAAAATACATGGGCTTGAAGAAAAAGTATACGAACTCGAAAACAGGTACAAATATAATTTGGCTATTTTATATAGATCACTCAATCAATGTTCTATAATATTTTATTTTAGGAGTAAACCATTTGGTTGAGTGATCAGGCACTCGAAATATATTTTTGAAAAACGATAATTAACATTGATATTTAATCTATAACATGAAATCAAATAGACCTGGATAAAATTATCATTATACGATTGCACGTGTTTGGTTGTCTGTTTATACTCATATTCATGTTTAAATCGAGTTATATTACCGTAGGAAGTCTCCGGAGGTGATATCGATTAATGATTAGATGGCTCCTAGTCTAAAAAACGTACGAAATGTTGATACATTATAAAAAGTCTTTGCATTGTTAACTGATTCCTATGCACTTTTTGTAATTTGAATAAAGGCATTAGAATGACATTAATTGAATATGATAATTTTGGTTAAATTGGTGAGTATACATTTGACAATTTATGTTCCTTAAACAACAATATCTTATATCAGATAATCTTAAGAAATCAATTAAATCTGTGACAAAACTCATCACTGGGGTATCGTCCTAAATAAATATTGATTATTTGACCCTAAACGTTAATCAAACAACACGTAATTAATCATCACCGATGAACTCAAACTACAAGCATTTTAACTGCAAAAATAAAGAAAAGTTCGACAAATAAAAAGGGGACCAACCAATCAGTTCGATTTCTCCTATGTAATCGTAGTTTGTATGTGATATTTTTAGAATATGTTAACAAAATTATTTCTCTAACGTCATAATTGATACTGCTTTGAACTATTTGACAAGAAACGACAAATTTCAAAATGATATTAAAAAACGCTTCATTTAAAGTAATATGTGGTATACTGCATTGTATTTCTAGGTTAACGAATCAAGAAGAAGCGGTAGAGAAACAGAGAAAAATAGATAAATTAACTGAGGAATATGATGCTCTTCAACAACACTTGAGCGAACTGAACACTATGTAAATATGTATTTACTTCAAACAGGCTTGATTACCCAATTATATTTCAACGCTAACCATATATTGGCCAGTTAAAGCAGTTTCGCATTCATTGAGCGTATAAGGAGCACCATCACCAAGTAAAGTAGATTATCTTTTAAGACACCAAGGACAAGAAATCTGCGGATACGTAACTTATTTTCACAGTGAACAATTGACAAATTTCGCTTTTGCATTCATTTGAATTTGATCTAACTTTATATCAGCTAAGCTAAAGATTACCATATGATGCACTGGCAGGTCAAAAACATGTTTAGTTTCATTACGTTTAAGTGAGCAACTGTTTTCTTAATTACAAATGAAAAAGAATGCATTGATTTCCTACAACTTCAACAACTCAATCATGTACATTGTTGATGCGAGAAAAGATTGACGAATTGAAAGTGAACGAGATTTATGATGCTGGTTTCGTCCGTTTCAAAAATATTTTGCTGAATATTGGCACGCAGTATTCTGTAATAATTTGACAAAACGACAATCTTATTAATAACACAAACTGCATTTATTTAAGAGAAGCTGCGATATTTTGTTACAGTTGTTAAAGAATCAAGGTAACAGTGGTTTACAAATTGAAATAAAGGAGCAATCATGTTTTGTATATTTTCCTAGCTGAAACTGACACATTCTGGTACATGTAATTAGGAATTTAACACTGAAAAAATAGTTTACTATTTTGCGAAAGTTCACAGCTGACCGTCAATGGGATGTACCCAGGCGTATCAAGAAAGTTATTTCATCTGCAGTGTTCAAATCTTTTAGGTATTGGCTGTCAGAATACTAAAATTAAGTCTCTTTATAGTGTTAAAACATAATCATTCAACATTTCTAAACAAACACAAATAATTATACAATGATTAAAAAAAGATATTATTTATCGTTATTACGTAATCAAATTATTTTCAGTTACAGAACAAAGGATAATGCACATGAATCAGAACTGAAAACACAAAAGAAAGACCTGGAACAGAAAATACAACGGCTTGAAGAAAAAGTAAATGAACTCGAAAACAGGTACACATATAATTTGTCTATTTTGCATAGATTTTTGCAACCAATGCTTTATAGTATATCAATCAAATTATGAGACAAATCTCGTCCTCGACATGACATAAATAAATACGAACACAAATGAGTGAACAATTAAAGTTATAAAAAGAAGTGGGATACTTTTTTCAGATTTTTTAAATGCATTTCATAACTTTTTTACCTTTTATGTTCTGATGTCTTAAGTGATTTATATTTGGTTATGTCACAGATCAATACAAACACACATGAAGACGTTATTAAAGTTATTAAGAGAAAGCATCATATATTTTTTTTAGACTTTTTACATGAAACTCATAAAGTATTCACCTTTTATGTTTTGCTGTCTTATCAATGTGTCTCCTTTTATTGTGCATGTCATGCTTTTCAGCAGTCGAATAATCGCAAGCATACTGTTTTACAATCCCTTCTCCAATTTAAAATGGCAAGTAAAAACATTATTTAATCATTTTTTCTTACAAACTTAACAAAGATGAGCGATATTTACTAAAAAAAAAAGTTCATATGCAGATACTATTGCAGTCGATAATCTATAGTGAGACTAACTGCAAATGAAAATAACACTTGATAAATTGTATTGTAAACTTTCTCATCGATATTATATCTTACATATTTCTTGTCAGGCTTTTAGGTACAACAGAAAAGCATCAACAAGTAGTGCGTAGACTGACCCAAGAACTTGACAACACTCGGTAATGATTATTTTGCTAAACCAACCCTGTCTTAAGTTAAATACCTTGCATTGTGTTAACTTCCCACTCACATACATCATTTCAATATACACAATATACACAATACACCATACTTCATTAAAACATACATCATATATCGATCTGCCATCATCTTTGTATTCTATTTTATTACCTTATTCGCAACGTTCAAAATACCCACAATGTAACGTGTTTACATATCGGTCGTCATCTGTGTCACTTATATTATATAACGTTCAAACAACTTATGATCGAGTCCATCATGTTTCAACACAGATTAACTCACCATACAACTGGCAACCTTTGGTTCAATTGTTTTCCTTGGAACTAATAACCCTATCTCAAGCTTCTCATGACATAAATCGTCAGTTCTTATTCATGTTCTATATGATATCAACTGAGAGATATCATTTCCATGCCAGGTGTTGTTTAAATTTTGATACACAAAAATAACCACAGCTTATTCTTTCAATTTGTGTATAAGTTGAGAATGAAATAACTAGCATGAGTATAGAAGACAGCATTTGTTTTATATTATCGAAAGAAATTAGTGACTGAGACGTAAAAGAAAATATATGTCTTGTCAGGCACTACAAAAGTCAAAAAGTCTGAAAAGACAAATTTTTGTCTGAATTTGCATGAATTTTTTTCTCGACATTCTTTCTTTGTCTTAAATATTTTTAAAAATTCTTGACAAAGTCTGAATTTGTCTAATCAAGTTCTTGATTTTTCTCGACACATGTCTTGACAGTATTAACATGGTCTAAAAGTTTCTCGACACTTTCTTTTCCTAGCTGAAACTGACACATTCTGGTACATGTAATTAGGAATTTAACACTGAAAAAATAGTTAACTATTTTGCGAAAGTTCACAGCTGACCATCAATGGGATGTACCCAGGCGTATCAAGAAATTTATTTCATCTGCAGTGTTCAAATCTTTTAGGTATTGGCTGTCAGAATACTAAAATTAAGTCTCTTTATAGTGTTAAAACATAATCATTCAACATTTCTAAACAAACACAAATAATTATACAACGACACATTCTTGACTGTCTTAAATCTGTCTAAATATTTCTCGACACATTCTTGACGGTCTTACAGATATCTCAACAGTATAAATTTCGCCTGAATTGTGTAAAGACACATTACTGACACTTCAAACACGTTCTTTTGCTGTTTTATACTCATTTTTATTATCGCTAAACTTAACTTAGAAGAATTAGGATACAATAATACATTGCTAATTATAAAAAGCCACATTTTGGTACAATAATTGTTATTTTTTACTATATTAACATTGAATATTATGCATGAAAAATGAAATATGTCTATAGTATACTTGGTTAAAATCATTTAGCAATTATTTATGAGATAGATCAACATTTGTAATTATTTACCAACCCACATTTACATTGATTTATATCAACATAATCACATTTGTATCTGTTAATATTTGACATATTTTTATTCATACCCATAATCGTATTTTTAAAAATATTAATATACCCAAATTTTTTATTATAAAAATATTTACATGCCCAACTTTTGTTTTTGTTGTAATAGGTGTAACTTGAAATAACAGTATATTCTATCAAGGGAAAAAAAGATAATGATGTACCATGTATATTGGTCATGATTTGTAAAACTCAGAGTTGTCAAGTAAATTTAAGATACAATTCAAAATGTTCAGAAAAAGTCAAGCCATACTGCGAAAAAAAAAAGAATGTCAAGAACATGTCGAAAAATTTCAAGTCAGCATTCAAATGTCAAGAATTTGTCAAGAAATTTTAAGACAATATTTAGAATGTTGAGAATTTGTCGAGTAAATTTTATACAAATTTAATATAAATCAGAAATTGTCAAGAAAAATTAAGACACAAGTCATACTTTTGGAGAATGTCGAGTAAAAATCATGCAAATTTAGACAAAAATTGGTCTTTTCAGACTTTCTGACTTTTGTAATGAGGCTATCACATATTCAGGTTTTTAAATATGTTCACACTAAGAGTAGATCCTTCCACCGTAACCACGCAAAACGTATTATCTTCATTTACTCCCACTACGTCGATATCACTGCCGGTGATCTACTCTTTTCTAATGGTTTGATCAGCTCAGTAGTCAGTGTTTCGGTAACAACCTATTTATAACGTACTTGGATTATTCTTTGTTGAAATTATAGATGAACCAGCTTTGAAAGACATGTTTTTATATTTACCTTGATCTGGAACGCCAAAAGGCACCAATCATAAAACAAAGTAAAGTTCATCAGAAACGGGTATAACTTACGGGTAATTTTGTCCTCTATGAACGTTTGGCTTTGTGTGTTATGAATATGACCAATTAAAAGACATCTGAAATTAACCTCAATTGGTGATAGCTAACTTGAACATCATGGTTTTATTAATGCCGGAAAATAAGATTATAGTTCCAAAAACCTCTGCAAATTAAAAATAAAACAGAAATAGGAGCATTAGACAATTCCCATAAAACCCTGTAGATAACGTTTTCGGAGTCTGTCACACGACTTTTATAACATTCGAGGCGGTGTTCTCAATTTTCCGCAAAGTTTAGTATCCGAATCAATTCAATGTCAACTTTAACTTTGGAACTGTGACTATTTAAAATGGTAGATACACAGCCGATGATTCAAAGAAAAAATCTTGATCAAATTTCAAGTATCTGAATAACTTGCAGTCTACTAGCAGCCTTACCATTCAAATTGTTTTGAATCAAATATTGAAAGAAATGCTTTCAAATATAATTTTAATTTTGAAAAAAGCTCAAGCTATGTGATTGTAATTCGTAACTTAAATGTTTATTTTTCAGAGTTGTTTCCTGTAAGAAACGTGATTTTAAACTGGACTTGCAAAACCATCGGTATTTAGATAAATATTATAGTAACATATTAAGTGACGTGAAAAAAAAAATATATGTCTTGGGTCACGAGATGCAGAAGATATTCAAACTGATAAGTCAAAGACAAACTGACACAGCGCCATGGTAAAAAAAGTAACAAAAATGAAGAAAAGACAAACATCAGTCAAGAAACGCAACACAGACAACTAAATATCCAATTGATAAAATCAACACTGTTCTTATGATTTTTGTTTACTTCAAAACAGTTCCTTTCACCACTTTGTCTTTTGTAAAGATTATACAATAACGCTTAACGCAAAGGATCACACTATTTATATAGAACAGGTATAAACGCTGTCGCAAATCAAATAAAATTTCCAAATAAAAAAAAATATTCGAAACACCCGAAAAATTTGGCTAGCTTTTTAAGTGATGAAAAGCACATATCCAGTCTGACTAAAATGAGAAATTTTATGTGGAATGGTTGTGAAGATTGATAAGCAACTACATTTAACTTTCATGTTTTTATCGATTTCGTTTAGTTATGTTGTTTATATTGATATTATATTACAAAGCTGATGTAAACATTGTTTTATTCCTCGTGGATAAGATAAATACACATACTAGATAATGCAATTTATATGTGTCAAAACATAATTCATAGTGAAGGTTCTCACCCCCTCTCCCCCAAAAATTAATACAAAACAAACGTAATATCTCAATAAAAATAAAAGCATTTTTTATTGAACAAAATGTAAACTATAGATGACGATGATTTGAAAGTAAGCTGTATCGGGGCTTAGGAAATTAGGACAAAAATAAATAAACCTATTTAATTCCGTAAAATGATATATCTTATCTTTCTTAAAATCTATTGCCGTAGTTAGCTAACTCCTATATATACTTCAACAAAATACACATTTACTATTTAATATTTATCATTGCTCTTCATAAATATAAAAAATCAACAACGAATTAAACATTTTAAACCATATCTATCAAAGCATTTCCATAGTTGAACAATCGCTAGAGAACAAAATAAGAGAGATTGACGATAATCAGCAAAAAATGAAAAAAGTCGACATGATGAAAGAAACGTTAGAGAGGAAGACAAAAAATTATGAGAACAAAATTCTAACAGCCAACAAGAAGATAGAAACGTATGAGAAGGAGATTGAAGGTTATCGGAAGTAAGTATCGACATAATATGTATGGACGCAATCATGATTTTGTTTACATCCATGGAAAATAGTGCCAACCTTTACGGATGACAACGGAATTGTACAAATTAGTGTAACCTCAATCAAGGCCTGTTTCCATCGTTCGTGACCAATTGCGACTGATTACCAAATTTTACTCCCGCATATAAAGCGGGGACAATACTGCATATATGCTTTGTCAATCAGTTTAATTGTTTTTCAATAAGTTCTTCCATTTAACTGTCCGATCGTTCGTCCGTTTGTCTGTCCTCCAACAAATGTTATCTTCACACTTATCAGGTACTTATAAACATAAAAACCTCATATTCAGTCCGAATCTTATCAATTATCATATATACACGTGTGTGTTTGCTTTTCAATTTCCTATGACACCTAATTCCTGTTCACTAATGCTTTGATTTACCTATTGGGTATGTTTATAATAACGTTAATGAGATTTGTCCTGTTTTTACTTGCAATGAAAACAAGAATGCCATGTATGAACCGGAAACTGCTTACCCTTCTGGAGCTCCTGTGTTCACGCATATTTTTGTGAGATGCATTGTATAGTGTGTAATTAGTTTTGAGCAGGAATTAGAAGTTTCCATTATATGCACATCATAACAAAAATATTATTGAACTAACCAGAATGAGTTTTTCGAAGTATTTTTAAGGATTTTTTTGGGCTATTTATCTGTTAATAAATCAGTGCTTTATAAAGGCAAAATTAATCCGTTTTTCGTTTGAAGCCCAATCTTTCCATGTGTCATTTGGTCTCTTGTGGAGGTTTGTCTCATTGGCAATGATACCACATCTTCTTTGTTTCTATATAAATGTGTTTTTTTGTAATTATTTCAAAAAGTTGACATTATTAAAAGAAATCATTTCATTTTTGTACGACCCTATTTATTCCTCACATTGATTTTGATATAGACTGCTAATTATTTTAGCATCTAACGCAATTCGATAATAAAGAGGAGTCTTTTTTGCTACAAATCTACCGGCTAAATTTTATAGGTGTACAAAGATTAATGTCAGAACGCGAAGTTCGATTATCTTATTTAGTTCAAAAATTATTTCAGGAAAACTTGTATGTAATAATTAAATGTTTTGTTAATGTTCCTAATCTGCATAAAATCGTTTGAAATATGATTCAAATTTGTATTTTTTATCTTGTAAAATTTTTTTTCGCACACGTGTAGCGTTATTTCTTTGACCTTCGAGTTTGACATCGATGATGTATCATGCTATTTTCAACAATGAAACAACGTATTTGTGACGTTTGTCCTCTTCCGTTCCTCATCAGGAGTCATTGACTTCCTTCGATACAATTTTCTTGGATTGAAGACAAAATGAAGTTTTCTTTGATATTTGATTTCGAGGTTTTGTCATTCAATACTATAGTGAGATTGTACTTTTGATCATTTAAATTCGTGCTTTGCCTGTACTCCCCAAATCCACGAAAATTGATATCCCATGAATATTAATGATTTTTTCAAGAAAAATAACAAGTTAACAATCTATCATGTCTTACCAGAAAAATAGATTCGTCTTTTCATTAAGATTTAAACCAAACGAAGGCAGTGAGTAAATACAGCCAAAATCATAATTTATCTGCATATTTCGTGTTCTCTTTGAAAATGTTGAACTAAACGATGATGAATAACAATTGGCTTGAGTGGACATTCGACCCAAATTATTACGTTGGCTTTAATAGTTCTTGGTAACTATGAATTTATTTCACATTTGTCTACGTAACTCCATGACCAGATATTATAATGAACAATGATTTAAAATAACTATAAATATTGTATCTAAATTCCATTTCAATATGTTTATTTTGATTTCAGGCCGATTGAATGCAGCTACTTATGCACGTCTTGCTCCAGGTAGGCTCTACAAACCACAATCATACTAAAATCATAGCAATGTGTTGTTTCGTTATTCCAACATCCACAAATAAATCTAACAGAGCAAAGTGTACGATCTGGTTTAAATGAGATTGTTTAAATCAATGGTTGCCTGAACAAATATCATGAATATTTTTCTGCTGCTTGACAGGTAGAAGAAAAAAAATATAGCACGTATCTTTAATAATTGGATATTACCAATTATAACATGTATAATATTTACAAATATAAAATGTATATGAATAAGGACGTTTTTTAGTAATATGAATGATACTGAACTAAACCTTTGGATCTATAAACCACTGTTATACAAGTGGGCAGGTTAATATAGCTATAAACCTAGGTTTAACCCACCATTTCCTTCTGGAAAACCTTCTTAAAATCATAAGGCAATTGTTTTTCTCTTGATTAACTACATTGTTTTGTTTTTTTGGTTTTCGTAGATTTCTTTTCTGAATTGCCTTTTTGAATTTGCCTTAGTGTTCTGTATTTTAGTTACACGTTTTCTTTTGTACTTATTCCCAAATTTGTGTTTAATGTTTTCAGAAGTAATTCAAGTAATTACCATGTGAATTTGTTCGAAAAATAGTGTTGATCTAATTCTAAACACGACTTTGCATTGATGACAAATACTACGTCGCAAAGTAGAAGTATGTTAAAAATGTTCCTGACTATAACATGTATACTATGGTTTTGTATGTTTTTCTAAAAACAAACACTGTGTATAAATGATGAATTATTTGTTTTTTATTTGCCTATTAACTATAAAATTGAAAATGGAAATGGGAAATATGTCAAAGAGACAACAACCCGACCAAAGAGCAGATAACACCAATGGTTCTTCAACGCAGCGAATAAATCCCGCACCCGGAGGTGGGCCTCAGCTGGCCCCTAAACAAAAATGTGTACTAGTTCTGTAAAAATGGACGTCTTACTAAACTCCAAATCATGTAAATGAACTAAAATTTAAAAAACATACAGGACTAACAAAGGCCAGAGGTTCCTGACTTGGGACAGGCGCAAAAATACGGCGGGATTAAACATGTTTTGTGAGATCTCAACCCTCCCCTATACCTCTAGCCAATGTAGAATAAAGAAACACACAGCAATACACACAGTAAAACCCAGTTTAAAAGAAGTCCGAGTCCGATGTCAGAATAGGTAACAAAAGAAACTAAGCAAAATGACAATGATACTCAAATTATCAAAGGACTACTAGCAGTTACTGACATGCCAGCTCCAGACCTCAATTAAACTGATTGTATTTATTTGAGCGCCATAAGTGACTCTTAGAGAGAAGATACTCACGAATGGCCTAACAAAGTATAAGCCATCTTTCTGTGATAAGTTAAATCCCAAAGGACGATGCAAATGCTGGAGGTCATTTCGAGTATATTACAAGTCCAGTAATCAATACTTTTTTTTGTATTTAAATGAAAATCATTGATGCGTTGTTATTATGTGCATTCAATTTCCATGAAAATACTTATTTTGCGTAATTTTGTTTTCCTCAGCTATATTGAAAAAAGAAGGTGAGTGTAATTAATATTTCTGTAATGAAGCAAGCATATAGGTATTTTATTTAAAAATAAATTCCTCGATATCTTTAAGCAGTTAGTTAATCCTTTTTTTTAGACAGATAAGTATCTTATGTAATGCATTTGTCAATAAATGCTACTATATATAATGGAAATATATATGTTTTATAAAACATACTTTAACTGAAACAGCTGTATTCGAATATTACCGAAATTTACTACAACTATATATGTGTAGCGGATTTGAATGAAAGGCTAAAAATGACATTGAAGAAGTAACACATCCTTGCTTTTCATAATACTGTGTTTAACCTTTCTGATGAATGTTAATGCACAAATGTTAAGAGTTTCGGTCGCACCAATTCATAAAGTGTCATTTTCGTTTGGATCAGTTTAGCTGTTGGTGAACAGCTTGTTCCTTGGGGGTATCTGTTTAGAAAATTTTCCGAATTAACATGATTTATTGCTCATCTTAATTAATTAGACTTACTACCGGGTTTGTACTGACATGAATAACATGACGGATGCCAATTGTGGGACATGATTTGCGGGATGCAACGGTTTCATTGATTACAATATATTGACACGGAATGTTAAATATATGACCTTGATTAAAGGACGAATGATAGCAAGTAATTTAAATGGAAGGGAGTAAATGGATTTTGCAATTGCTTCAAAATCTTTCAAAAGTCTTTTTTCACATTTAATTAATGTCGTATTTAATAAGTACTCTAAAAAATTGGTCTTAACAAAAAAAAAAAAAATAAGAAGTAAACAAAAAAAGTTCATGAAATTAAGGTACACGCCTGTTTACAAATGCAAATGCAAGTAAGCAATGTCGGAGACTATTAAATATACTCTGAGGAAATGAGAGCAATGGTTGCATCTAATAAATAACCAAATTAGAGATGGACATATACATAACATTTCGGAATCTGTTTCGACTAGATAGATTGCTTACTTTGCTTCCAGACGTTGAATGAAAATACTTAATAAAGATCGTAACATATAATAAAGTTAATAAATGTATTTTTAATTATTAAAATATAAGTTCACGAACAAAATGATTTGTAAAGACATTGTTTAAAAAACTTTCTTTTGCAATTTCAGCTTTCCACAAGGACAAGCACCTCTTCCGTAAGTGTCAAATATAAGCGGAAAAGATGACTTTTTTCTCTATAATATAATAGTGATTAACGGAAATGTAGCTACTGTCGATAATTTACACAACTATGATACTAATCGCTACGAACATGACAAAAAAGTGTCAATACCAATATAATGTGAGTTGTATTGTGTCAAAATCAAACGTTTTTGTCAATTTAATTTACATTTTTATCGAATGTAATTATTTTGATCATGCTGTAAAACTGTTCTTACACTGTAAACAAAGAATCAATTGTTTTGTAAATGATTTAGGTACGGTGTTGTATTCCACATGTAGTAGATATAGAGTGGTTGAACTCGATAAATCATAAAAGATTCGAAAATCATTTCAACCTAAAATTCAGCAATTTCGTATTTCAAATCAAGATAGCAGATCCAATTGTCGTTTCTTTTGCTTTAAGCAGCAACAATAACATAATCACAATCGCTTAACATTTAAGATATATTTGTTATTAAAAAGAACAACAATGCATTTCTAATTCATATATATTTTTCAGGGAAATCGTCGAGTAAGTTTGATTTCACGTAGCATACCAAAGTAACGATTGTATGTATAGATAAAAAACGTAACAAGTATTCATATGCAACGATTCGACATTCATTAATCGTTTAAAATACATTTTGAGTGTATTGGAAGTCTGTAAAAAAAAATATGATTTTGTAAACATACAAGAAGATGTCCTCTTCTGTTGATAATGTTCACGTAAAGTATCTAGTAAGATGTAGAAACTCGGTAAAGATTAAACGGTCTATACTTTAATTTTACAGACGTGCCTTTTGTTATCAAAAGATTCACCAGTATGGGTTCGAATCAGAACACTTGGAAGGCAAAATGAGAAACAAAGTTGCTGAGCACTTTACCACAAATTTTAAAACTGTGATCTGAATTTATTTAAGGCCATCTTTGTCACTGAGGTTGCGATAGATTCTTTTAGAATATCAGTCTCAAGTATTTCAATGATAGGCATTAGATATCAACAATAAAATTTAGTTTTTGACACCCATGTTAAATTTATGATCTCAAGCGTTTTCACTTTTTCATGTTTTCAAACTTTTAGTCTCGAGAACTATCTAATGACTTCTGTACACCCAAAATATATTTTTTCCCGCACGGATATCATTGGCTATCAAAACATATTATTTTGAATAAATTAGAACTATGTAAACGACAATTTTAAAGGAAAGCACAATCAATGAGCTTCCGATATAGATCAGCTCACTTCAAAAATTGTGTCAGGATTTATCACTTTGAGTTAACATATAACTCATACCAAATCTTCTTATCTATATACTTTTTTTTTGGTATTATTTGTCTTTTTCAGACAACAGTTTAAATATGTCGTTAATTCAATTTATTATTGTTTTAAGCTGATATTGTTTACACAATCATTCCTTTCGAAATTTATTTTTAATCAATTATTTCTATCAAAAATCATTTGTTGTGCCATTGAATTGCTGTGTCATTGGCATATAGCCCTTTCCGGGAACTCATTTAGGTAATCACGGATTTTACTCTCAAATTAAATAGGAGTTACTTATCACCCAAGAGTCAACGATTTGCAGTTTTTAGTCCCTGTTGATTTATATATTTAGTTTATATAAAATACAAATAATTGTTGGTATTTGCCTTCCATCATTCACTCTATAAAACAAATTACAAAGCTCGAAATATTTATTAACTAAAGTGACGCATTATTTTTAATTTTATTTTTTATTGTTGCTCTTAACTGGAGTGAACCAGTATTGATACCAGAATACTATTGAAGAAGAGAAAGAATCGTAACTTTAAATCAGATACGGGCTTTCGAAAGTCAGTTTCTAGACAGTCTTATGCCACTATCCTCTATTTAAATATATACAAATGTCAAATTTTCAATTATTTTTTGTTGTTGTATTTAACATTACTTCTTTTTTCACTAGTCATTGTCGGTGTGGGTAAGTAGACAAACAAGCGTTAACACTTTGAGACTACACAGCTGTTAAACATTCACTACCACACCACACACCGGATAAGAAATATACGTTTGGTTGAGGTCAACATGACGTTTAACATGTTAAAATAGCCATAAGCAGGTTATAAATACTGAGTTAAGAACTTCAAAGAAGATAATCTTAATTAACCATCAATTAACTAAATCGAGCGTTAAACTAAGTATGTGTCCGTTAATAATTGAGATATGGAAGCAAAAGGAGTGTTATTTACCACATATTGAGTGCAAACATATATACCTACAGCAGGTTCAAATTGTTTTTGTGAGTTCGCAATGCAGCTGACACTAACACGAATGGACTTTTAAAAATAAACTCGTTTGATGTCGCCATAAATATAGAAAGGTTACAGTTTACCTTAAATACTTTCAAATATGATAAATAGTTTCATTAGAGGCAGATAATACAATAACATGTTGTTATAAAGTTATTGTGAAAAAGAGATGATGTAAATACTTGCTTAAATCCAAAGATGTGTAATATTGGATGCTGTTTAATTTGATTTGTGTGTAATAATTCATCATTTGAGCGAATTTGAAACAAAAAAAGTTTTATAATTTCTTAATATAGAATCGAAATACTTCTTTCTTTTTTGATACATCGATTTGTATTTCGTTTTGATTTTCACTTTTTATTCGAAATGTTATATTCACTACCAACGAAATTGGAAATTTATTGTATCATCTTCGTATCGTTGATGACTTTTTAGTACTAAGAATTGAAATAAATTCAATCCTAAAGTTTTAAATCCATACCGAAATGAAAGCATAAAATTTGAGAAATATATATGAAATATATAATCTTTTTTTATTCAATTTTTATTCTATAGATTTAACAGATCATTCAGATACAGTGGTGTACAATCATAGAATGATAGAAGACGATGACAAATATTAGCAACTTTAAGTGGAAAAAAATCATTGCTGAAAGTAAAGGACATTAAATCCTAACTTGTGAATTGTTAATCCGAACGTGAACAATGATCAGCTGTTACATTTCATGGATTGCAATATACTTGAAATACTATTTTATACCTTTTACTAGAACTATCTCAATTTAAAAACCTCTGAATTTTCCATCGACACCTAAAATGCAATATACTCTAGGGTTGTATGTCCAGTACGTACGTAACGTTTACTATGAAACTAGATTCGAAGGTCCGGACGTTTCTATTACAGAGTTTTACATAAACGATTAAAATCAATGTGTTGAAGAATATGAAACTAAATGTATTTAGGACGTTTTGGTATCCAATTGACTCTTAATTTAAATCTATTGAAACAATTCTCACGTATACTCTTTGATGTCCGGCATTGATATTTGAATACAGAGTACATTTACTTCCTTTTTATGGGTTACGTAAGGAATTCCTGAAATTACAGTAAAGTTTAGAATTTCAAATCTAAAAACATTGTAATTAATGATTGACACTTTCCTAGACATAGCATAGAGGATAACTTTCGGTATAAACTTGACACATATTTTGTGATAATTCACTTCATGTTTGGAAAACTTAAATGTATACGGATACTGATGTAGCATACTTGTAGTCTTAGATCTTTTTTAACAGTTGTCTAGTTTAAGTATGATGATAATTGTGAAGATGTAAGACCACTATTTCAGGTCTACTTAAGGACAATAGCATAACATAGTATTGTGTAACATTCAACATATAAACTATAGGGTCATGACTAAGTGAGATTCCTCTTAAAAGATATTACTAAGAACAACATTTATTGATTTCTGTATTTGATTAATGATCTAATACTTTTATTCTTCTTGTACCTTTTTTAGGAGTTGATGTACACTTTTTAGACGCATGTTCACTCACAACTGATACTGGCGTAGCATAATTGAAATCCAAAATGTTTTTATACTGCTCAAGTTAAGGGTCAACCGTTCACTACTCTATTTTTCCCTGAAACTGTATTGAAATAAAAAATGATAATCTATACATTTATAAATTTTTATGTATGATCTTCATTCTAATGCAAGCTTAAACATTTCAATTATTAGATAAACTTAAAATACTTTTTTAATTGATATAGATGTCACGAACTATGGCTGCATCACTAGTTTCTAACGAACCGTACTAAAATCATTTATAAATTTATTCACTCATTTGCCATAAGTATTAAATTTGAAAGGTAATATTTATGAAATTGTAATTTTCTCTGTTCAGCTAAATATATGGCTATAAAACATACAAAGTTTTAACAACTCATTATCAACTTTTTCTTCTCTTAACCAACAAAAAACAACATTGGGAAAAATACAAAACTACATAGTATTGTTTTTAATCTACTACTTAGTAATCGGTTTGATTATTTGAGCAATTGGATAGTGTATTTTCATCATTATATCTAAAACAGAACGAGCATGTATATATTTATTAACGTTTAACAGGAATAGTAATTATTTTTATACGATGTACATGTTTGCTATTCATATTGTTGCTTTTGTAGATACAGCGAATGTTTATATCATTTTGTTCGAACCGTGTATTGTGTAATAATTGCACTTTTTAGCTTTGATTGGGAACAAGTTGTATGGTTCTATTGATTACGCCTTTATTTGTTCCTATTTCCAATAAATTAATCAAGAAAAACACGTTTAATTTACTTTAACAGAATTATGTTAGTTCTAAGAGAATGTTGTTGATTTCCTCGAAAAATAGTGTTTAAATTGATTTTCTTATTTTGTTCTCAAAAACAGCAACAGCAAAAATGGTTGATAATCACATTGAATAGTGTCAATTAACTATATGTTTCAACGCATAATGTCTTTCAGTAATGCTTGAGGCCAACACATTGGGAAACCAAAGTAATATTGAAGAATTGATTAAATCGAATAGGACCAAAAATATTGCAAAACACTTTCAGGAAAGCAGAGCTAGGCATGGGGGAAATACGCTCCTCTATTGAAACAAAAAGTTTTCAAGAAAATTTACAATTGTTATAGTAAAATAAATATTAAAACCAATAT